ACCGCGGCCGGACCCGGGTCCGAGGCCGCCACCGTCCCGCCCGCAGGCGGCGCCATCTCCGGTCCGCCCGGTCCCGTCCCTGCACTCCCGCTTCCGCGTGGCAGGGGCGCCGAGAGATTCCGCCGGCCGGAAACAGGGGCAGCGAGCCTGGGGTTCCGGCCGCGGCCAGAGCGTCGAAGCCTAGGAGGGCTCCGAGGGCCGCGCACCTGCGGGGCCTGACCCGCCCCCTTTACCCAGGAATGGACACGGCCCGAGGGTCTCCGGACACGGGCTGGGCAAGGCCAGCGGTGCGTACGAAGCCCGGGCGGGGCGGGCCTCTGGGCAAAGCGTCAGGGACAGAAGCACCGACCACACCTGGAAGGCGAGCGCGGCCTCTTGGCCCCCCGAGGCCGGGGCGGCGGGGCAGCAGCGGCGACGACCCGCCCCCAGCGCCGGGCTGCAGTTGGACGCCCCCGCCCCGCCCCGCCGCCAGCAGCCCGGTGAGCGGGGCCCCGGCGGCGCAGGGGGTGTGGCTGGGGAGTCTGGGCTTGCCACGCTAGGTGACTGGGCCTCGTCGCCTCGCCGGCCGGACCGGGAGCCGTGAGAAGCCTGGGCAGGGCCGGACCCAGCTCTTGACAGTGGCTCCACTTTGGGGGGGGCAGGAGGGGTGAAGGTAGAGCCCTGTGGGGCAGTTACCCAGGCCTGGCATCCCATGTCTTCAGGCAGCGCTAGCCCTTGGAGCACAGAGCCCCCTCTCCGAGGACATGAAGCTGTTGGAGAATTCGAGCTTCGAGGCCATCAACTCGCAGCTGACAGTGGAGACCGGAGATGCCCACATCATCGGCAGGTGAGGCCCGAGGCTCTGGGGACCGGCATCTCAGAGGTCACTGTGCCCTGTGCCCTGAGTCCAACTGGGGCAACCTGCTCCATGGTCCTGCCTGCATCCCGCAGGATTGAGAGCTACTCATGTAAGATGGCAGGAGACGACAAACACATGTTCAAGCAGTTCTGCCAGGAGGGCCAGCCCCACGTGCTGGAGGCACTGTCCCCACCCCAGACCTCTGGCCTCAGCCCCAGCAGGTGAGCCAAGGTGGGGACTGTGGGGTCTGTGGGGTGGTGGGCTGGACTGACGCTTCTCTCTGTGCAGACTGAGCAAGAGCCAAGGTGGTGAGGACGAGGGACCTCTCAGCGACAAGTGTAGCCGCAAGACCCTTTTTTACCTGATTGCCACCCTCAACGAGTCCTTCAGGCCTGACTACGACTTCAGCACAGCCCGCAGCCATGAGTTCAGCCGGGAGCCCAGCCTCAGCTGGGTGAGGGTCGGGTGAAGGGAAGGGACCCACAGCCATCCCCACTGACCTCCCCCACTTTAGGTGGTCTTTGGGCTGCGCCCAGTCCATGCCTGTTGTCCTGGGCCCCTGTCAGCCCCAACTGTGACCTGCCCTAGGTGGTGAATGCAGTTAACTGCAGTCTGTTCTCTGCTGTGCGAGAGGACTTCAAGGCCCTGAAGCCGCAGCTGTGGAATGCAGTGGACGAGGAGATCTGCCTGGCTGAATGCGACATCTACAGGTGAGCTGGCGTCCCTGCAGGTGGACCCCCCAGATGTGTGTGGCACCTGGGGACTCACTCCACCCTTTGCCCCATGTTCTCCAGTTATAACCCAGACTTGGACTCGGACCCCTTCGGGGAGGATGGCAGTCTCTGGTCCTTCAACTACTTCTTCTACAACAAGCGGCTCAAGCGAATTGTCTTCTTCAGCTGCCGCTCCATCAGGTGGGCACCGTCTTCTTCCCTTCTCTGGGCTCCCTGTTGGGCCCACACCATTTCCACAGCTGTGTTCACCTACCCCCAACCTGTCCTCCCAGGACATCCTCTTTGGGGCCAGCGGCAGGCCTGGGGTAGGGGGTCCTAAGAGTGCTTCCCCTACCTCCCCCCAGTGGCTCCACCTATACGCCCTCAGAAGCAGGCAACGAGCTGGACATGGAACTGGGGGAGGAGGACGTGGAGGAAGAGAGTGGAGGTGGAGGCAGCGAGGGCGGGGCTGAGGAGACCAGTGCCATGGAGGACAGGTGCGTGATGGTGGCCGTGGCCCAGGTCCCTGCAGCCTGGAGTGTGTGGGACAGGACCCCTTTCTGCCTGTTCTCCTGGGTGGTGGCTCCTAAAAGCCTGCTGTATGCCAACCTCTGAACCTCTGTCCAGGGTCCCAGTGATCTGTATGTGACAAGGAGGAGCAGAGGCTCCAGCTTTATCCAGCTTCAACCAATGCTTGGACCTGCCCATCTGAGGAGTCCCAAAGCCTCCCCAGCTGCCGGCCAGACTCTGGCACTGCCACAGCCCCGGCACTGCCCAAGGCCACACTTGCCTAGCCCTTTGGCTCCAGCCTGTGGATGTCCACTCACCCCCACCGTCTCCTGCCCATGCTGCGGCTGGACTAAGCATGGGACCTGGTGGGAAGAGCAGCTGCCCTGGCCAGACGAACTGCCACTGGCAAGGATAGCTGGACCGCAGAGTTTATTTTTGTATTTCCTACTGGGCCTGCACACTCCAGGCCACAGGGCCCGTGGCCGGAGGCCCCGCAAGCAGGCCGCAGGGGTCACTGGTTCTGCTCTTGGGCCGGCCCCTGGTGCCCACCTGTACCCCCCACCTTGCCCGTTGGGCCGCGTGCACTGAGTGTCACTTTGCTGCAGCTCATTCGTTTCCAATAAAAGTTTCTGTGACTTAGTGTGGACCAGGTGCGGCGTGGGGGCGGGGCCTGCGTCAGGGGTGGGGCCTGCGGCGTCCGGTATCCTAGCAACGGCCGCTGAGGACCGACCGCTGGGTCCCAGGAGCTGTTGGGCTCCTGGATCCGCTGTCGCCAAAATGGAGGCGGAAGCGTTGGACGCAATCAACCCCTTTCCACCTCAAGGCGACAACCCAATTCTGGACTCCGACCTGTATGGCGCAGACGGCTTTGATATGCCAGACCCTGGGCTGCTCACGGAAAAGAATGGTGAGGGGGCCTAGCCTCACCCTACAGGCGACTCGCCAGCTAGGAAGCAGGTCTCAGATCGGTTCGTCCGTGAGAACGCAGCTCCCCTGGGCAGTCCCTGGCCCGGCAGGGCTCCCGGCTGCCCACGACCTCCAGGGGTGGGGGCCCAAGGCCACAGGTGACAGCGCGTCCACCGCCCGCCCGCAGAGTTGTATTTCACCGCGCCGCCGCAGGACCTGCGGACTTTGACCCGCAGCCAGCGGTGGCAAAACATGAACCCGCGTGCCCGCGCCCGCCAGCTGTGGCTGCTCCTACGCACAGGCCTCCACGACATCGTGGAAAAGGTGCAGCTCGCCCCCCGCATCTGCCTCTAGGCCTCCTCCCGGGTTCGGCCGTTCCCCTAGGGGTTCCTGCACCAGCTCCGCCCAGATCCTTTCAAGTTCCCCCAGGCAGGGGCGCCGCCCGCCCATCCCTTTACTGCTGGTTTGCCAATGTCCGCCCACAGGAGAAAAGAGCGGAGCTGCGCGTGGCGCGCTTGACGCATGGGCTGGAGGCGCTGCGCTGCCTGGAGGTGGCGGCGGGGCTGCGCTCCGTGGCGCAGGACCCGGTGGGAGGACGCTTTGTGGTGCTGGACGGCGCGGGCTGCCTGCACCTGCACAGAGAGGACGGCTGGGCACAGGAGAAGCTGCCGGCCCCCATCGCGCTTTCGGGGCTGGTGACGGTGCTGGGTCCCCTGGGCGCTGTGGGCCGCTTTGTAGGGTGGGGCCCCTCGGGGCTGGCCATACTAGGGCCCGACTTCAGCCTACTGTGGCTGAGTGAGCCGGGGGTGGGCAGGGCACCAGGCCGTGAGCCCACCTGCTGCCTGCCGGTGCCCTACCCAGGGCTGCTGCTTGTGGCCGAGGTGGGTGGTGGCCTGGAGCTTTGGAAGTTCCGCTCAGGTGGTCGCCGCCTGGTACCGCGAGGGTCACGCATGCGGCCGACGCCGAACCTGGCGGGCCCGCTTATGCGTCTGGCTCTGGGGCCGGCGCCTCCCCACCGCGTCCCGCGCTGCTTCGCTGCCTGTGGCTCAACCGTGCTCAGCTTTGATCTGCAGGCCTGGGCCCTCCTCGACGTGCGCCGGGATCTGCACAAAACGTGAGGCGGAGGCGGGGGCGGGCAGGAGACCTGGGGAAGCGCAGAGGGCCGCGGCGGGGGCTCCGGCCGCGCGCGCACAGGTCGTGCTAAGTCCGCCGGCCCTTCCCGGTTCCCCTCACCCCCAGCACGATCTCGGACCTGGCGTACTGCGAAGGGGCAGATGCCATGGTGACGGCTTCCCGGGACAGCACGGTGAAGGTGTGGGAGGCCGACTGGCAGATCCGGATGGTGTTCGTGGGCCACACAGGTGCGCCGCGCCACGACGGCTCTTGCAGCGCCTTTTCCACCCACAGCTCGGCCCCTCTGCCTTAAAGAGCTCTGGCCGGGCTTCTCTGCGCCGGCTCCGACCCGGGTTGACAGCTCCCCTTCTCTCAGTCCCTGGTGCGCCCCAGTGACCCGCTCCCCTCCCGCAGGCCCGGTGACAGCTCTGGCCGTGCTCCCGAACACCACCCTGCTGGTGTCGGCCTCGCAGGACGGGACGCTGCGCACATGGGACCTGCAGGCGGCAGCACAGGTGGGCGAGGTGGCTCTGTGCTACTGGAGCCAGGACGTGCTGTCCGGGCGAGTGAGTCGCCTCCTGGCGCCCGCGCGCCCGGGCTGGCCGGTGCTCTCCCTGCGCGCGAGCAGCGTAGAGCTGTGGCGCGTGCGCGAGCTCTACTCGCAGCTGGCGCAGTTGCCCGCGCCCGTGCTCCACCTGCAGGCAGCACCCGCGCTGCCCGCGCCCGCTGTACGGCC